AACTCTATAGGAAAAAAAAATCTAATAATCTGATCAAAGGATGGGCAAAAGATTGTAATAAGACATTTCTCAAAAGAAGACATACAGGGCAGGTGCTGCAGCTCATGCCTGTAATCTCAGCACTTTGGGAGGCCGAGGTAGGTGGATCATGAGGTCAGGAGTTCGAGACCAGCCTGACCAACATGGTGAAACCCCATCTCTAATAAAAATACAAAAATTGGACAACCTACCCATGAGAACATGCCTCTTGCAAAGGATCTCCGTCATCCCTCTCCAGAAGAGGAGAAGAGGAACGCAGGAAGAAATGCCTGGTGCTGAGCCCCAGTTCCTACTTCATGGATGTGAAATGCCCAGGATGCTATAAAATCACCATGGTCTTCAGCCATGCACAAATGGTAGTTTTGTGTTGGCTGCTCCACTGTCCTCTGCCAGCCTACAGGAGGAAAAACAAGGCTTACAGAAGGATGTTCTTTCAGGAGGAAGCAGCGCTAAAAGCACTCTGAATCAAGATGAGTCGGAAACCATCTCAATAAACACATTTTGGATTTAAAAAAAAATACAAAAATTAGCTGGGCGTGGTGGGGTGCACTTATAATCCCAGCTACTCAAGAGGGCTGAGGCAGGAGAACTGCTTGAACCCGAGAGGTGGAGGTTGCAGTGAGCGGAGATCGAGCCACTGCACTCCAGCCTGGGTAACAGAGCAAGGCTCTGTCTCAGATAAAAAGACATATAGGCCAGTTGCAGTGACTCATGCCAGTAATCCCAACACTTTGGGAGGCCGAGGTGGGCAGATCACAAGGTCAGGAGTTTAAGACCTGGCCAACATGGCAAAACCTTGTCTCTACTAAAAATACAAAAATTGCCAGGCGTGGTGGCAGGCACCTGTAATCCCAGCTACTCAGGAGACTGAAGCAGGAGAATTGCTTGAATCCAGGAGGCAGAGGTTGCAGTGAGCCTAGACTGTGCCATTACGCTTCAGCCTGGGTGAGAAGGGCAAGACTCCATCTCAAAAAAAAAAAACCACATACAAATGGCAAGCAGGCATATGTAAAGGCGCTCAGTATCACTGATCATCAGAAAAATGGAAATCAAATCTACAATGAGGCTGGGCATGGTGGCTCATGCCTGTAATCCCAGCACTTTGGGAGGCTGAGGCAAGTGGATCACCTCAAGTCAGGAGTTTGAGAACAGCCTGGCCAACATGGGAAAACCCTGTCTCTACTAAAAATGCAAAAATTAGCCAGGCATGGTGGCAGGCACCTGTAGTCCCAGCTACTTGGGAGGCTGAGGCAGGAGAATTGCTTGAATCTGGTAGGCAGAGGTTCCAGTGAGCCGAGATCATGCCACTGCACTCCAGCCTGCACAACAAAGCAAGACTCCAGCTCAAAAAAACACTACAATGAGATATCATCTCACCCCAGTTAAAATAGCTTATATCAGTGGCCCTTATTGAAGCTGCAGCAGCTTCCACATAGCTGCTATGGTGAAAAAGGAGCCGAGTGACAGTTTTCCTTGATGTTTGTCATTCTGTTTGTTGTAACTCATCTGCAACATTAGAAAAAACAGAGTTCCATTATAAAATAAATAAATAAATAAATAAGCCAGGCACGGTGCAGTGGCTCATACCTGTAATCCCAGCACTTTGGAAGGCCAAGGCAGGCAGATCATGAGTTTGAGGCCAGCCTGGCTAACATGGTGAAACCCCAGCTCTACTAAAAATACAAAAATTAGCTGGGTGTGGGGGCACATGCCTATAATCCCAGCTACTCGGGAGGCTGGGGCACAAGAATCACTTGAACCCAGGAGGCAGAGGTTGCAGTGAGCCAAGATCGCGCCACTGCACTCCAACCTGGGTGACAGAGCAAGATGCTATCTCTAAAGAAATACATTTTAAATGGCTTATATGCAAAACACAGGCAATAAATTCTAGTAACAATGTGGAGAAAAGGGAACCCTTTGCACACTGTTGATGGGAATATAAATTAGTACAACCACTATGGAGAACAGTTTGGAGGTTCCACAAAATAACTAAAAATTGAGCTACCATATGATCCAGCAATCCCATTGCTGAGAACATACTCAGAAGAAAGGGAATCGGTGTACTGTAGAGATATCTGCACTCCTATGTTTGTTGCAGCACTGTTTACAATAGCTAAGATTTGGAAGTGACCTGAGTCAACAGATGAATATATAGTACATATACACAATGGAGTACTATTCAGCCATAAAAAAGGATGAGATCCAGTCATCTGCAACAACATGGATGAAACTGAAGGTCATTATGCTAAATGAAATAAGGCAGGAACAGAAAGACAAATCGCATGTTCTCACTTATTTATGGGATATGAAAATCAAAACAATAGAACTCATGGACATAGAGGGTAGAAGGATGGTTACCAAAGGCTGGGAAGGGTAGTGAGGAATTTCAGGGTGAGGTACAAATGGTTAATGGGTACAAAAAATATATAGAAAGAATAAGACCTACTATTTGATAGCACAACAGGATGACTAGAGTCAGTAACAACTATATATTTTTAAATAACCTAAAGACTATAAGTGGATTGTTTGCAAGTCAATGGATAAATGCTTGAGGGGATGGAGACACCATTCTTTAGAATGTGCTTATTTCACACTGCATGCCTATATCAAAACATCTTGACTGGGCACAGTGGCTCACGCCTGTAATCCCAGCACTCTGGGAGGCCAAGGTGGATGGATCACCTAAGATCAGGAGTTCGAGACCAGTCTGGACAACATGGTGAAACCCCATCTCTAAATAATACAAAAATTAGCCAGGCGTAGTGGCACGCACCTGTAATCCCAGCTACTCCGGAGGCTAAGGCATGACAATCACTTGAACCCAGGAGGCGGAGGTTGCAGTGAGCTGAGATCATGCCACTGCACTCCAGCCTGGGTAACAGAGTGAATCTGTGTCAAAAAAAAAACAAACAAAAAACAACAAAGAACAAAACCATCTCATGTACCTCATAAATATATAATGGGTACTACTATGTACCCATTAAATAAAAAAAAACAAACAAATAGCCAGGCATGGTGGTGTTCACCTGCAGTCCCAGCTACCTAGGAGGCTGTGGTGAGAGGACTGCCTAGGCCAAGCTTATCCAACCCACAACCCATGGACCACATGCAGCCCAGGACAGCTTTGAATGCAGCCCAACACAAATATGTAAACTTTCTTAAAACATGAGATTATTTTGTGATTTTTATTTTTAGCTCATCAGCTATTGTTAGCGTATTTTATGTGTAGCCCGAGACAATAATTCTTCTTCCAATGTGGCCCAGAAACGGCAAGAATATAATAGCAATACCCCATCAAGAAAGAAAGAAAGAAAATAAAGAGAAGAGAACAGAAAAGAAGAGAAAAGCGGAGGGAAGGGCGGGGAGGGGAGACAAGATGCTCCTACCTGCACCTGGGAGATCAAGGCTCAGGGATGAACTGGACAAATGACCCCCAGAAACGCATATACAATTGCTGCCACTGGGCCTAGCTACTGCTAAATCAAATGACAAAGCAAATCAGTTCAACTCAGTAGCTCTCCCTACTCAGGGGGTAATTCAACCTCTTCCCTTTTGGGGAACCTCAGAAGCCTCTGAAACTTCTCCCTTCTTCCTCCCTCACATTCCCTTCAGAGGAAAGCACTTGGTATGGGTTTGAGAGCAGGAGGGCCCCCCTGCAACCCCAGGATCTTCCTGAAAGATCCACAAACAACCTGACCCACACGGACAGAGAGACACGGGGACTCACCACCCTGTTTGACAACAGGAAAACATGCAGGGTGTTAAAGGCAGAAAAGGGGAAGTGAAGCCCACGGACAGCTACTGGAACCACTGAACAAATCAGACAGAAGGCCCACATTTCCCCCGGCCCCCAGCAGGGACCCACAACAACTCTGCCTTCCAAATAGAACAATGAACATTGTATTCCCTGGAGCTCCACTTCCGAGAGTTTATAAATCTGCCAGGCATCCTGAGAACATGGAAACAGCAATGGGAAACTCAGAGCATTGTTCAGACTCTTGGTGAGAACTCCCTACTCCTGCAGAGATGGAAGAAACAATTCTGTGTACTATGGCCAGCTCTCATATATACCAGCAAACCACAGACCCATAAGGCAGAACAGAGACTGGATCTGTTTTTTACTATTATCATTTCCCAAAGTGCCTGGCACATAATTGGTACTCAAAAATATTTGTTCCCGCCGTGTGCAGTGGCTCACAGTATAATCCCAGCACTCTGGGAGGCAGAGGCCGATGGATTACCTGATATCAGGAGTTTGAGACCAGTCTGGCTAACGTGGTGAAATCCCATCTCTACTAAAAATACAAAAATTAGCCGGGTGTGGTGGCGCATGCCTGTAATCCAGCTACTCGGGAGGCTGAGGCAGGAGAATCACTTGAACTGGAAGGCAGAGGTTGCAGTGAGCCAAGATTGTGCCACTGCACTCCAGCCTGGATAAGAGCAAAACTCCATCTCAAAAAAAAAAAAAAAAGACATCTAATTTAAACCATCCTTACACACACACACACACATGTATGTATATGTATTTGTTCCCTAAATAAGAGAGAATGATGGACACCATCTTAGTGGCCTGGCACCCTAGGTACACATATAGGCAAAGACAAAAGGCCGTTCATTTACTCATTCAACAAATATTTATTCAGTATCTCCTCTGTGCCAGGCACTACCCTAGACACAAAGGCAGCAGAATAAGTCCCTGCCCTGTGGAGTTTATCTTTTAATGGGCACAAAGGTGGGAATCTCCATGCTCCTGAAAAAACTATGTAAGCCATAGACATTTGATAATTACTTAATCAACTCCTAGACTATGCATAAGCAACTGGTACCAGATGCTGTGATAGGAACCTGCAATCTGGGACTTAGCCCTAGTGAAATTATTTCATCTACAAGGTCAGGATCTTAAATCTGTACCACGTGTTAGTGGATGGTCAGAGACCCCTGAGTAAAGAAAATGGGATTACCTCATCGGTGCATCTGTCTTCATCTGTTGGTGAGCAGAAGCCACTGTGTGAGCATCATGTGCATGCCCAAAACACTGTACAACACTGCAAGACAGAAAAAAAAAATCGGCTTTAGCTGAGAGGTGCCAGGGGCCCTAAAAGCAACTCTAATAAGTTATAAACACTGTAACTCACAGAGTGCTCCCAAGGTAATCTGGCTCCTTGTCTGTCCCTTACACACCACCCTGAGATGATTCTGAGCCTGAGTCAGCAAATATTTCCCCAATCCTGGAAGGAGTCTGCTCACTCCCAAGTAAGCAGACACTGGCTTTGCTGATTTTGTCAGGTTAGGCAGAAGGAGCAGGCAAGGTAAGAAAGGAGCTGGTGCCCAATACCCCCCATGGGTAGCAGCTCATAAATGAAGATGTCCTGAGTCATGGTTGATTCCTTCACCAAAGCCGCTGGAGACTGAACTGGAGTCACATCCTAGTCACCAGCCTGCTGAGTTATGAAGGCTAGGAGCCATGTGTCAAGGAAGAAGACCCACATGTCTGAAACCGGATACAAGGCGCCATGTTCTCCCTGCCGGGCTCAAGGTAAGCTCCAAGCTCTCCTCTGACACCCTGGAATTCAGCTGTTGCAAGCAGCTCCTCCCCCTGGCTCCAAAGGCAGAGAAAAATGCTCAGGGATGTCAAACTGTCTCCAAGAAGCAGCCATTAGGTAATCTGGGACCACATGGCATAGACAATGGCATCAGGCACAGGGCTTCTGACATCATTTAGGCAAGGGCCTGGCAGAACGGACAAAGCCCGCAGAGACCTGGGTAGGGAGGAAGAAGAGGATGTTTCCAAGCTGGGCAGTGGAGCTGGGTCCCGCAATTTCCAGGCCCTCCAGAGGCACGGGAGGAAGGCACCACTGTTCAGCTTCCCAGCCTGTAGGGGGCACCCAGAGAGGTGGGCCTCAGAGACAGAATACAGCTGAAGCCCTTAGACGTGACAGGTCCAACTCCTGAGAGAGAGAAGCTGCACTACCCCAGGATGTGCCAGGATCCGCAGGCCCTGAAGACAGCTTGCACAGCTGGTCAGGACAGCTGTAGGCCCAAAGCAGAGGCCTAATGGCTTCCAGGCCACTGCCCTACACTGGCTATCCTCTTACCAGGCCTTAAGGGAAGGGGTTGAAGGGACCACAGGTGGGGTTGAAAGACTGAGTAGGAACAATTCTTCCTGAATGTGTTGAGGCATGTTATACAAGCAGGCAGTGGCAAAGAGGCAAGGAGAAAGGCAGCCAAACTGGCAATCAGTGTCATCTCAGTGCTCTGCGACGCCAAGGTGGGGAGGACTGCTGGAAGCTAGGAGTTCCAGATATTGTGAGAGCCTGTCTTTACAAAAAAAAGCTTCTTTTAATTTAGTGAGTGTGGTGGTATGCACCTGTAGTCCCAGCTTCTCTGGAGGCTGAGGTAAGAAGATCCCTTGAGTCCAGGAGTTCGAGGTTACAGTGTGCTATGATACTGCCACTGCACTCCAGCCTGGGCAACAGAACAAAACGTTGTGTCAGAAAATAAAGAAAAACAATCCAGACCCAGGCTCTGCAAAAATCACTGACTGGAAGGAATTTGGTAACTGACAATCACGACTACCTTCTCAGAAAACGACAGAGTGAACAAACTGCAAGAAGCTTTCCAGCTAGGCTGCTGGTGCCCAAGCTGCTCCACAAGGACTGGCCTTGACCTGATCTCAAACCTCTCACCTGCCACCACAGCAGAGAGCCCTACTAAGGGGTAAGTGCAGACAGGAGTAACAAACTTCTCAGAAGAGTAAGAAAGGGTCCTTCTTGGGAGCCAGAGACTAGACTAAAAATCTGCCCCCAACACTTTACCTCAACCTCTTTAGAATGATCCACTAAAACCCCGGAGAGATGCTATTCACAGGAACAAGGAAACCTTCCTGTCCAGTCTGCCCAAATCCCTGCAAGTGCTGCAAAGGGATCAGTGAAGAGGCGACTGGCTCAACGACAGGCCATCCACAATCCTATTGCTTTCACAGAAAACAGCGCACAAGAGGATTACAAAACGTTAAAGTCTGGTCAGGCTGGTTCCTTTGGCTCTCCATCACAGCTCCTGAAGGTTGTCAACTCCTGTGTCCAATCTGGGCTCAAAGATAGACAGCACAATCCTCAAAAGGGAAGTCCTAGAAACCTGGAGCCAGGTGAAACGACAAGCCTTCATTTCTAAACTTGAGACTGGGTCACACTTTCAGAATCCTCCAAGATCAGATTGGGTATGTTGCCCAGTGAAACAAAGGATATGTTATTTCTTGAAGACTTAACAAAGGATATATTATTTCTCAAAGATTTCTTTAGAGAACCAACACCAAATAAAGGAGCTCAAACTGAAGGATATGAAGAGAATTTTCTGCTTGGTAAGTTTAAACGTCCAGACACACCAGGAAGGTGGTGGGCTCTCGAGCCTCAGAGAAGATGATCTACATGACCGGAAGCAGATATGCCTGGTCAGGTTCCTGACAAGGTCTAACTACTGCAGTCCCACATCCTTCCCAAGTAGTTCTCAATTTGATACCTCACACTATGCCTGGGCAAAGGGAACAGAACTTTGGGGTTGCCCTTCCTCTTGCATGCAGAGGAAATTAAGCTCCCAGGGGAAAAAAATAGGGAGAATTTGGATTCCCTAGATTCAGAAAAGAATAAAGAAAAAGAGGGAGAAGAGACTCCGAGAGAACATGTTCAGTGACCAACGTCAGAGGCACATTCAGTTGGTCAAAGATTGTCAAAGAGATAGGAGAGAAAATCAGCAGCCGTTTCAAGCCACCAATAATAAAAGGGACAGATGCCCGCCAGCCCCAGGGCTATCAGGCCGGCAATCTATTTCAAAACTCAAACAGGGAAAAAAAAGTTCTGGAGCCAGCACAGAGGAAAAAGGTTGAGGAATACAAACATTTTCTGGAGCACAGCTATGAAGAATGCTCTTAGCCCTTTGGGATGGAGCGCAGGGTGGAGGGTGGGAGTGAGGGCAGAGAGAGGCTGGGGTATCGTGGTATAAACGTATTCCATACATCCAGAGTGGAAAGACACAAAACCCTGATTCCTGGAAGGGGAGAAGAACTGGACAAAGCCTCCAGCTTCCCGTGGCACACATCCAACTCAGCGCCGTCTCTTCCCAAGGGTTCCTGGAAGTCAACAGGCCCATAAAGGGGAAGTATTAAAGCTGAGATGAGAAGAATGGCCCACAAACTGGACATCATCTCTGACGCAATACCCAAGTCAATTCTCCCACACAGATATATCTGTTATTTCCTTGAGTCAGTCAGCCTCTTAATTCGATCAAGGTCTGAACACCTCCACCCCACCCCATGGGTATGTCAACCTCAGGTCAAGTGAAAGCAGAGTCAAGTGAAAGCTAACGCTTCTCCCAGAAGTAGAGGAAAGGAACAGAGAGGGAAAAGAAGGTGGACGACAGAAATGCAGGGGACAGGGCTGTTAGGAAGGAAATCGGAAAGAGGAGCAAAAACAGGCCCTCTCAGGGAGCCAAGGTAAGAGAGGCTTAGGGAGACAGGGACTGCAGGCACGGAGTTGGAAAAAGTCTAGTAACACCCTGGGGAAGAGGATGGGGATCCATAATATTGGAGGGACTAGGACACAGAATAAGAAGGGGACAGGGATGCGGAAGGAGAGCAAGGATGGGAGGATGAAGGCAAGAGACAAGGGGTACAGAGGAAAAGATCCCCGAGAAGACCCTAGATAGGGCAACAGATTAGGGAACACCAGAAAGGGGTGAAGAAAGAGGTCAGAGACAGGGGAGAAAAATGGGAGTGGCCCCCCCGGGCCTGACGGGGTTCTCATAAGTAGGAGGAGACGGGGCCACGAGGTCCAAGAGGGGGCACAGAGTCGAGTGGACGGAGGCCAGTGTTTCGTACTCACTCAAGCAGCTATGGGGGTCCAAGGGCAGGGGGCACAGAGGCGGCGGGGCGCCTGCACTGCAACGCACGACCGCTGATCGGACCGCGCCGGAGCATCTGGAAGCCGCCGCGACGCTGCTCGCGGACCCCGGCCGCTCCCCGCACCCCGCACCCCGCTCCCCGCCGCCGGGCCTTGCGCCCCAGTCCTGGGGGCTGCCTCGGTCCGGGCCCGCCGCTTCCCGCCACCGCTTGCCTACCCGCTTCCCCCGACTCGGACTGACCTGTCCCGGCTGCCTAAGGCGCCACTGCCGCCGTCTCGCAGGCTCCGCAGAATCCTCCCGCTCCTGCCAAAACTTTTCCCATTAATCCCCAGCTCCGCGGCGGCTGCAGCGTCACACGCTCTGCGGCCCGGCCCCGCCCCCGCCGGCGCGACGTCACCGCGCAGCTCGGCCCTTCCCTCCCCACGCCCCCTTCCGCCCGGCGGCGGCCAATCACCGCGCCTCCTGGAGGCTCCTCTGATTCTGCCTCTCCGCCCACCGCACGCTGTCCCGGGCCCTCCTGCGGCGCCCTCTGGTGCGGGATGCGGGCACAGCAGGGAAGGGAGGAGCCGGGGAGCGCCAGGGCCAGTAAAACGAGTCCAGCAAGTGTCACAAGACGGAATTTAAAGCTGGAAGGGAATTTCGAGGTCATCTAGTGCAACCTCCTCATCTCCCATTGAAGAAACTTAGTCCTAGAAAAGATACGTGACTTGCGGTGACGAGTCTGGAGGGACTCTTAACCCAGTGCTAGGTCCACTAGAGGAGATCATACCGCCTGTACTTTTCAAAAAAGGGTATTCCGCTTTCAAGAGGCTTCTACAACTGGAAACTTAACGGTCTTAGACTTCTTAACCTTTCTTCCCATGTGCTTACGTAATACGCTTATTCACCTAAAATAGGTAACATCTTCTCTATTGTTGTAGACAATTCTGTCCTCACTTGTTAACCCAGGTCTTTAAGACCTGAAAGGGACCTATTATCCCAACCTGGCGCTTGAGATGTACCACAAAATGCTACCTAGCAGCTGGGAGGCAATCTGGTGGAAGAAGTTGGCTTTCATCTGGCGATGAACAAAACTTGACTCAGGCATATGATCAATGCCTCCTCTCCATCATCATTAAAACTTACCCCGCCCCTCCCCTTTGGGGACACCTTCTGTAGGCCACAAGCTCCTCAGGCCACACCCTAGCTATTTGGATGTGTGATTTTTTTCTTGAGACACAATTTCACTCTGTTGCCCCTGCCTGCCTGCAATTGTGCAATCAGCTCACTGCAACCTCCGTCTCCGGGATTCAAGCGATTCTCCTGCCTCAGCTTTCCAAGTAGCTGGGATTACAGGCACCCGCCACCATACCCAGCTAATTTTTGTATTTTTAGTAGAGACAGAGTTTCGCCATATCAGCCAGGCTGGTCTTGAACTCCTGACCTCACGTGAATCGCCGGCCTCAGCCTCCCAAAGTGAGCCACCTCACCCAGTCTGGATGTGAATTGTTGTTGTTGTTGTTGTTGTTGAGACCGGTTGGCTCTCTGTTGCCCCGGCTGGCGTGCACTGGCACGATCACTGTAGCCTCTACCTCCCTCGAGTGATCCTCCCACCTCAACCTCTTGAGTAGCTGGGACTACAGGGGTGCACCACGACAACCGGCTAATTTTTTGTATTTTTAGTAGAGACTGGTTTTCGCCATGTTGCCCAGGCTGGTCTTAACTCCTGAACTCAAGTTATCCTCCCACCTTAGCCTCCCAAAGTGCTGGGATTACAGATGTGAGCCACCATGCCTCGGAGGGATGAATGATTTTTTTTTTTCATTCTGTCTGCTTCTCTCTTTTTCTTTTTTTCCCCTACTTTTTGAAATGATTGTGCATTATAGTTCTAACTTAGATGTCAACCTCCTTGCCTTCTGAGATTGAGGTCAAAATGGACTGTGGAAATCAAAGACCCTCTCTTAACATTTTTGCAACTATCTGGGGGTTTATATTCTCTTAATTATTTCTGTCTCTGTTTCTGCTTTTGCCAGGCTGTTGCTGTACCACGGTTCACAAGCCTGGAAAGGAAACTCAGCTCTCCCTGAGGACTGCCTGCACCTCTTCCCACACAAAATACTCATGAGTACAAAGACATTAGGGTCCTCTGGGCCCTGGGGCAGGTCATATGATAGATAGCAAACAGTTTAAACTTACCCGTCAGAAGTTTTTCTTCCCTTTTTTATTTTTTGAGACAGAGTTTTGTTCTTGTTGCCCAGGCTGGAGTGCAATGGCGCAATCTCGGCTCACTGCAACCTCCGCCTCCCGGGTTCAAGCGATTCTCCTGACTCAGCCTCCCAAGTAGCTGGGATTACAGGCACCCGACACCACACCCAGCTAATTTTGTATTTTTAGTAGAGACAGGGTTTCTCCATGTCTCAGGTGAACTGCAAATCTCAGGTGATCTGCCTCTCAGAGTGCTGGGATTATAGGCGTGAGCCACTGCTCCTGGTCAGAAGTTTTTAAAAGTCCTTTTCACACCCCTAGCTGAGGTTTTCTAACTGGCCCTGGACCCGCTGGCCTCCTCCAGAATCACCACTTCTCCTTCCCGCCCACCATTCTGTCCTCTGTCCCACCCTCACTGGAGGAAACACAAATTCCTCTGGCTTTTCAGGCAGAAAGAGAGACACTTTAACCTATCTCTTTGTTGCTTAAGTTCCGTCCTTCCCAGGGAAACAGATACACCAGCCAAATCTCCTAATGATGCCTATCCTATAGCTCTAGTTTATACAGATCACTGGGCACTCAGGTTGTGACTCAGCTTATATCCCAGTGTTAAGGTCCCTACAGATGACTTTGTTGTCCACAAAATAGTTCATTTTGGCTGCTGCCAAGGTCCTAGAATATACTGCTTCTTCTTCTATTCCATTTTTGGAATCCTGAGTTTATTCTCCATGCTTCCATTCTAATTCTTTTGACTGTTCACCTCTACACAGTAGGGAGAGGTACTAGACACAGAAGGTCACATATTGTAATGTGTGTAATGATTTCCTACAAGGGAACACTTTTCAGCAATAAGGAACAAACGAGATACACAGACATACATGTTGTATGTACAACATGGATGAATTTCAAAAACATTGTGTGGCACAAAAGAAAAAAGACACAAAAGGCTACATACTATGTAATTTCATTACATGAATTCCTGGAGCAGGAAAAACTAATCTGTCATGACAAAAAGATTAGTGGCTGCCCATGTAAAAAACTTAAAGTGGCACAAAAATATTTTATCAAGGTGATGGAAATGTTTCATGTGTTAATTAGGTGTTGATTAGGATGGTAGTTACTTGGTGTATAAATTCCTCAAAACACAGAGAACTGTATATCTAAAAGCTGTGCATTTTATCATATCTAAGTATAGCTTAATAAAAAATAAATATGGCAGGGCGTGGTGGCTGACACCTGTAATCCCAGCACTTTGGGAGACTGAAGCGGGTGCATCATGAGGTCAGGAGTTCAAGACCAGCCCGGCCAAGGTGGTGAAACCCCATCTCTACTAAAAATACAAAAAAACTAGTCAGGCATGGTAGTGTGCGCCTGTAACTCCAGCTACTCTGGTGGCTGAGACAGGAGAATTGCTTGAACCTAGGAGGCAGAGGTTGTGGTGAGCAGAGATCACACCACTGCAATCCAGCCTAGGTGACAGAGCAAGACTCCGTCTCAAAAAAAAGAACGTACTACCTCATGTAGGCCTTTATTTCTACTTCTTGACCTAACTTCCACAGTACTCCACGGGTTTCTGGGGCGTATAACATGTTTTATTCTGTACTTTAGTATTTAGGGAAATTCTCCTCCTTACATATGCCTCTCCAGATGTGATCAGATGCCTGAGTGACCTTGCAAATCAAGATGACACCAGGAAGTGTCACCTGGTAGTAGGAATAGCCATTGTCTTATTTATTGAATGAATTAGTGCTACATATTCCTACAACTTTTCAGCTTGAAACTTGCATTCACCCACAAAATCCTATTTCAGACTCATCCTTGCTGCTTTTGCAAATAAATGCAGCTGACAGAATCATTTGCAAATGAAGCAGCGTATCTTACACAATAAACACTTATCTCAGAGGTGAACGAATCCAGAATGCTCTCTCTCTTCAGGATGCAAGATGTCTTAGTTTTGGTGATTGTTTTACTTTGTCTTCTTGTTGACTTACAGGCCACTATTGGCGAGATATGTGCGTCTATGGCCCTGGGGATTTAAAGTGGCTGTATAAATCTTCTAGCATGTTCGCTAACAAGTTAAAGTTGGAGACCTACCCACTTACTGTGGAATGCCTAGAACTGAGGATTTGAGAGAAAACTCTGAACCAGAGTGAAGTCCCTGTGGAACCAGACTGGTATTTGCTTCAAGAGTAAAAGCTACTTCAAAGAAAATATAAAATATCAACAATAAAAAAAACTAATAACTCTTATTTTGGAATATGTGTCCTACTTTCCTCAGGGGTCTTGCCTGGGACACGTGGCAGACCTGGGGACCACCTGTGAGCCTGCGGGAAGAACATCCCAGGTCACTGTGAACATGGAAGGCGTGAAAGTTCAACTGACTGCAGTTGGCACCTTAGCCATGAGTGGCTGTTTCTTAACTCCTCATGTAACTCCTACTCTAACCCATTCTAATCAGTCTTAAATATTACGTTATGTGTATTGTAAAATGCCCTAATTAAGGAGTGTCCCTTCAGAAATTAGTGGTTTTCCCAGTCTTCCTTATTGAAAGATGGATCCAGCTTTTTGTTTGTTTGTTTCTAAGGCAGGGGCTCACTTTGTCACCCAGGCTACAGTGCAGTGGCATGACCTCAAGCTCACTGCAAGCCTTGACCTCCTGGGCTCAAGCCATCCTCCCACCTCAGTCCCCAAGTAGCTGGAACTACAGGTGCATGCCATCATGCCCTGCTAATTTTTTTTGTACTTTTTTGTAGAGATGGGGTCTCGCCATGTTGCCTAGCTAGGCTGTCAGCTGTTTGATATGTAAGTAAGAACAGAAAGTCACCTTAAAGCAGAATAGTTCTTTCTTGCTGTGCCAAGAACCACTAAATGATTGAACACTTATGTAAGTATAGAGCCACGAGCCTTAGTATTCTGGGGAAAAGGTTTAACCAAGCTCTTTGAATTTTGAGAGCTTTGTGAAAATTAGTCTCACCTCTTAATGGAAGAATTGGCCTCCAAGAAGCAGCCAGTGGAACACTGTCTTCCTGGGGCTTGAGCCTGTTTATAAAAGATGATCTGCTAACAGAATGTAACCCTCAGCCATTACTTTGCCTTAAAAACCTAACTTGC